CACAGGGAAGCCGGAGGCTGTCAGCTCTGCACATCTCTGAGCATCTCCCCTCTTTGCTCAGAACCTTCTGTGTCTCCCATAGCCCCAGCCAGACCCTCTGCACCTTGTGATCCCCCAAGACCTGCCCCAAGACCTTGCTGTTGTGGCCTTCAGAACTGTCCCTTACAGGAATACGAAGTCACAAAGAGTAGCTGGCCTTTGTTCATTGTGCAGATGAGTACGCTGAGACTTGGCTTGAGTGGCTCCTTTGGTCCTTATAGATGGGGACACTGAGGCCCAGAGGGGCTGCTAGTGAGGGGAGGAGGCAGGCTGGGCACCTGGTTTTAATACCTTTGCTCTTCTTCCTGCTGGGGCACACATGCCATCCATGGTGGAACAAATATCTGCCCAGCAGTGCTCCTCCTGGGGAGGGGCAGCACTGGCCTCAGGGGGATCTGAGGACCATGCCAGCCAGGGGAGCGTGGTGTCGCTTCCCCTGCCTTCTCAGCCCAATTCCCCTCGGTCACCTCCAGTAGGCTGAGGTCGCTGCCCTAGATCCTTCAGAAGTTTTGCATCAAGGACTTGGGAGTCCTGGCCATCTCTAGGAGGCCCCCCGTGCCCATACTGTATGCCCAGGCTTGACACAATGTCTCCTCAGTGTCTTCTCCATTCTAGGGGTCCACTGCACTATACCCCATTCCAAGCATAGCCCAGACCATAGCTTCTCCCTCCTACTCCCTCTTGCCTCCATCTGTACTCCGAGTTGTGTTCCCCCCACCGCCCCACTCCTCTGGGCTTCCTAGTAGGATACAAATCTGGTTATGTCCACTCATTCAAGGGGCCACTGGGCTACCCTGTGGGCTTTGCCGGCTCTGGCTTCCTGGATAACCTCTGCCCAGAGACAACTCATCACCAGGCTTCCTTGATCAGGAGGGCCAGGGTCTCGCCCCCCTCATTCACTGACCTGTGACAACAGGAAGAGGTCACCCCATCTGTCCATACCTAGCAGGGCATGGACACACCCAGGAAGGCGAGGAAGGGAGGCCCAGCCCAGAAGGTGGGCTGGCCCAAAGCCAGGTGGGGGTGTGGGGTAGGAAGGGTTCCTGTGTGTTCTCTCCCCAGCCCAGGCACAGAGATCACATGCCCTCCTGCCTGCCCCACCCAGCTCCCACCTGCTGGCCCAGGGCTGTCTGTTCTCTTGGCTCAGCTCTCATAGCTGCCTCTTCAAGGATGAGTGACCGCTGGGCGGCACACACCTATGCCCCTCCCTGGCCTGTCCCCCAGGAAAGGACCCCTGCATCGAATGACCAAAGAACCTATTGACGGCAGTCCTTGTGAATGGTGCCCCAAATGGGTGCTAGCCTCCGGCTGCCATGAAGAATGGACCCAGGCTTCTGCCCTCAGAGGCCTGCCGGTGTGTGCCGTGGGTGGGGGCACTTGCTGTCCCACCAGCCTCTGGAAGTCCACACATGGAACCGTTTTCTCCATGCTCTGTGCCTTTTCCCAGGGGCCCTGTAGTCACTCAGGGGCAAGTGTCCAGGTGGTTGGTCAAGCCTGGACACTCCTGCATTCAGGGGAGCAATAAAGATCTTGGTTCCAGAGAGCCCCAGGCCAGTTGCTTGTGATGGGGCCACCAGCCAGCTCCCTGGCTCCAGCCCTGTGGTGCCCTTTGGGTTGAGAGGGTCCCTTGTGGCCTGAAGAAAGTCCCTCTACCACTCACCACCATCCTGACCTTGGCCCCAGCCCTCCAGTGTGGGGCTCCATTTCCCCAGCACTGGGAACTAACTGCCTGACCTTTAGGCTCAAGCTGGATGAAAGGGGCAGCCATGGGAGCCGCCTGCAGGGGGCAGAGTTGGGACGGAGACCGAGGCCTGCTGCCCCTTCTGGAACTGTCCATGGAAGGAAGAGGGTGGGTAGCTAGGAGGGCCTGGCCTGGGATGGGTAGCACTGGCTCTCAGTGGGGTCTGGGCAGCAGGACCAGGGGGCTGCAGAGGAAGGAGAAGAGGAGCAGGGCCCCTGAGCTGGTGTGTGCCAGGCAGCCATGTGGCTGTGGCATATCTTGGTCTGGGGGGAACCCTGCTCAGAATGGGGAGCCTCATTCAGAATGGGGTCTGTGTATGGCTGGTGTACCTGGGTGTGGCCCAAGCCCTGGGGTGGACCCTAGGACGGTAGGGGGTGACAGGGCCCCACTCCTGGCCCCACGGGCTGAGCCCTGGGCCTCAGAGCCAGAACAGACACAGGAAATGGCCTGATTGCGTTGTGTAGGAACACCAAATCCCTTGCAGCTGGGCTTGCTCGCTGGCCGGGGCTGCGGGCGGGGCGGCCATCGCCAGAGTTCTGACAGCTCCAGCAAGCGTGCCAAGGGGTCTGGGCCGCTGGCCGGGGGGCGCCTTTCCCAGGCCAGAGGCCCCCACCCCACCCCAGGAGAGCCGCCCCCTTTCAGTTCCCAGAACGGAGCCCAGCTGTGGAATAGTGAGGGGGTGAGGTCATGGGGAGGGGGCCGCAATTACTCACATCCTGGGGCAGGCAGGCGGGAAGGGAGGAGGCAGGGGAAAGGGGCCCAGAGGCCTCCTCGTCCTCAGCTGCTGGGTCAGGAGCTGGGGCCAGCATGGATTTCTCCCCAGCATGGGGGTAGTGGGAAGGCATTTGAAGACCCCTACCCAGAACCCCCACTGTCCCCAAGCCCCGTGTCCAGGGGGGCTGAGGGCAAAAGGGAAGTGCTCCACAGAGATTATGTTCCCAGAAAACACACCTTGGTCTCCAGCCAGGCACCACGTTGTCGGGGTGATGTCGAGGAAAACAGTAAATAGTGAGGCAGGGGCACCCCCAGAGGGAGCCTTGGAGGGGGATGGGACCTGTCATTTTGTGAGCCCCTGTTCCCAAGCCTTGTCTGCACATGCTTTAGGATGTCCGTGTGTGCACGTGTGGGCATGTGTGCACCCACGTGAGCACATAGAGGTCTATGTGTGCGTGCCCTCCTTGTCCAGGTGTGTCATCTACAGATTCCGGTGCTCACGGCAAGCCGAGCCCGGCCACCTCTGTGGCCTTTGCATGTTGTTGTGGGGCTGCTGTGTTCTGGATTCACAACCCCAGGAGTGGGCCCGAGGGGTTTGCTCGTGGAGGCTCTTCTAGGCCTGGTGGGGGGCTCTGAGGAGCAGAAGTGAGGTCCCGATCTGGTTCAGAGAACGATGCCACAGAGGAGATCCTGGGTTCTGCCCCAAGGAGGAACTGAGGCTCCATCCTGTGGTGGGGGGCGCTGAGGAGCAGGGGTGAAGCCCTGGTCGAATTCAGAGTGATGCCTCAGGGCAGACCCCGAGTCCTCCCCAAAGAGGAATTGAGGGTCAATCCTGCAACCCAGGCTCAGGCTCACACACCCACCTGGGCACACGCACGCATACCCTCGTGCACTCATCCACAAGAACTTGTGCAAACACGTGCAGACAGACGCACACACACTCGTGTGTACACAGACTTGGAAGTGGGAACAAATCCTTCCCTTGTGTGGTCTTTGGGGTGGGGGGCTGCTCCAGGTGGGGACAGGGGACAACTTCTTTCTACTCTACTCTGTCCCGATGCCCATTTGGGGGGCTGCTGATGTGCATGGGTGCAAAGAAGGACCTGGTCCCCAAGAACATAGAGTTCTTTCTCCCCAGGTAGAATGGGGCCTAGCAGCCCCCAGCCTGCGAGGCCGTGCAGCCAGGAGGCTGGCCTTCATCTGCTGGTGATGGGAGCCAGGTGTGGGGAATTAAGGGGCTTCCTCCAGTGGGGGTTGAAGGCCCTTCCGAGGCTGGCTGAGGCAGGCAGTTCGGGGGTGCGGAGGCAGGAGTGGGCGGTCGGGTTGCGTGGCTGAAGTCCCATGCGGCCGCGGTGGGGGGAGCAAGCTGTGCGTTGGAGCCTGTGGAGAGGCCTGGCTTTCGTCTGACAGGCTTAGGGGAGACCTGGGGAGATTAGATCATGTACTGGCAGGGCCGCTTGGCCAGGGGACTTGAGGCCCAGAGGGGAGCGGGCTGTGGGGTCATTTGACGGACACTGGCTGGGAAGGACCGAGACCCCGGCATGGAGACCCAGTCCCCTGCACAGAATCTGGCCTGGACTCCCCCTGACCCTGGGCCTGGAGCAGTGAGCCTTGGTAGAAGCAGAGACTCTGGACTCTCCGTCTCAGCTCCAGATGAGCTAGACCCCGAAGGGGGTCTGGGTTGGTTGGGACCTGTGGTGCCTGCAGGACACCATTAGCCCAGGATCTGCTGGGCTGGGATGCTAGATCCCCAGGCCCAGACCAACCTGTGCCTTCCCGACTGACCCCTAGCCTGAGGTGAGGGACCCAGAAGGGCCTGGAAGAAATAGCTTTCCCTGGTCTCAGCTTCCCCACCTTTGAAACAGCCCAGAGATACCCTACAGAGAGCCCTGAGATGAGGGTGATGCCCCGTGGAGTCCCCTGGCTATGGTCTGGACTAGGGCAAGGCAGAGATGAGAAAGGGCTGGTGATGGCAGCAGGAAGTGCCCAGCCAGGTTCGGGCACCTTCATCCTTGGACCTTGTTTCAGTCATTCTCTCCCAACATGCCATTCTTGGGGAGCAGTGCTCCAGTCAAATGGATGGGGGTGGCCGCTGGGCTACTTGTCTGGCAGTATTGTTGACTAAGGCTGCATGGCCTCAGGTGGCCATGCCAGTGCTGTCTCTGGATGCTTGACCCCTCCTGGGTTTCTGCATGGAGCAAAGCATCTCTCCTCCAGCTACTGGCACAGGGTATGTCCAAGGAGGTGGCTGGTGGGAAGGGACAGTTGGCCTCTGGTCCTTGCCTTGGGTCTCTTCAGGCCGGACTGCACGTTGGAGTCCCCCCATTCCTGCACACGAGTGCCCAGACGTGTGGCCTGGGTGCTCCACGCAGGCCAGAGGCACCTTCTCAACTGTTTATGTGAGACCTCTCTTTTAAGGTAAACTGAGGTCTGGACTGAGGTCTTGGACTATGTCCAAGGGCATAGCACCTTGTCTCAGTCTGACTGTCACTCCGGGTTCCCACAGGCTCACCACTGAGTGGAGTGTGGAGGACAAAGAGGAGGCAGCCCGTGAGCAGCGTCGGCGGGAGAGAGACAGGCAGCTGCAGGCCCAGGACCAGGAAGAAGGCAGCCATTCTCCAGAGCTGCCGGAGCAGGAGGCGCTGTAGGCTGTGGACCCTGGACCTGTTTCCTGCAGTGCAGGGCTTGAGGAGAGGGAGATGCTGGGGGTCAGGCCCTGGGATTGGGGTCCCAATGCAAGAGTTGGAGGAGGGGGTCAACCTGGGAGCAGGCAGTGCTTCCAGGGCAAGAGTGGTCAACAGCCTCAGGTGACCCTGTCCAACGGATGCCTAACGGGTCAGAGGGTCCACAGAGCCACGTGAGGCCACCCCCTCCCAGCTAGCCTCTAGGGGCTCTGACTCAGGTTCTGGACACCCTGCCTGGACCCAGCCCTTACTTGGACCCATCCTGACCCCAGCCTTGGGGCCCTTTCCCCGGAGCCCCCCGCCCAAGTTCCTGACTGCCGGTGACTCACAGAGGCCACATCCAAGTTGGCGGCCACGGGCCGGCTCGTTTCCTCCCCAGGCCCAGGAGGCCTCCGTGGCTGGGCTGGGCTGTTTTTCCAATAATGCTCCTCTTCCTCCTGGCCCAGCTTTGTTCCATTTTCTCCGAGTCAGCAGCTTCAGGCAGGGTGGGGTGCTGTAGGGGTCATGGCCCCTCAGCTAGGTCCTGGGCTACCCCAGTACCTTCCTAGCCCCCAGCCCCTTCTACTGAGTAGCTCACGGTGCTAAGTGGGAAAGCCTGTGGGGATAGGATTCAGGGAAGGACCCTGGGGACCAGAGTAGCTTTGGGGAGTCCCAGACTGATAGGGAAGGCATAGCCCTACCCTTGGGAAACCCCAAACTGATGGTGGGGGCACAGCCTAGCTATGGGAAGCCCCTCTGAGGCAGTTAAGGTCTCCCACACTTGGAACCCAGGGTCTGAGGAGGGAAGCAAGGGAGGGGGCATGGGGCTAGGGCTGAAGCTTGGGCAGGGTGGGGAGGGATGGCTCTAAAACATGCCCTGTCACTGCCCCTTCAGCCTCAGCCTGAAGCCCTCAGAAGGCCCTGAAGTGGATGAGGACGAGGGTTTTGGTGAATGGTCCCAGAAGCCAGAGCAGAGGCGGCAGAACTGGGGGACCGAGGAGGGGACTGTGGATGGTGGCGAGCCCCCTCTGAGTGAGAGTCCAGAAGGAGGACAGGCACAGGACAGGCAAGTGGGGGGGGGTCAAGGCTTGGAGGTGAGGCCATGGGCAAGGTTCTGGCTCTCCCTGAGCCCCCATCCTGTGCCTAAGCATTGGTCTCTGCTCCCCCTTTCCTATTAGGGCCCCCCAAATGCCCAGTGACTGCTGAAGGGGATAAGGGAGGGAGGGAGGGAGGGAGGAAGGAAGGAAGGGAGCTAGACGGTAGGGCGGCCTGCAAGGGGGCTGCAAGGAGAGGGCGGTGAGGAAATTTCATTCCTGGGCTCCCCAGGGTCCCTGGGCCCCATCCAGACCAGCTGTGGCCGGCTTGGGGTGGGGGGGGTTTGCCACATCAGCACGCAGCTGCAACCCACTTACGTAATGCAGACTCTGTAGCTGAGGCTGCCGCCCCTCCCTCCCTGGGGGCTGGCTGATCTCCATTCCCACGAAGGGGAACAGGTATTTCCAGATGTGTGCCTGTGAGCCGGCTTGAGAGGTGGGGGGCACTCTTTCCAGATGTGTGGACGTGTGTGCTTGTCTGAATTGGGGCAGGTGGGAGCCCAAAGCTCCCCTGCAGATAGGGGACTGCTCCCTAAGCCTCATCTCACCCTCCCCCAGTCTAGGGCCATGCCTGAGGACAGATAGGCCTGAGCAGTGTGGGCCTATTCAGAGGTCCAGGTTTGGGGTTTAGGGCCCCATTGCCTGGAATGAGTCAGAGACCAAGGCTGGGCTGTCCACCCGCCCTAATCCAGCCCTCTGGGCCCCTCGGAGGCCCCTAGGCCAGCAGGAGTGCCTGCTCAGCTCTCTCCCATATGTGATCTCCATTTTTCATCCCATGACCAGCTCCCAAATCCAAGAGCCACCTGCCTGTCCCAAGTCCTGGTCCTGGCTTGCCCACTGCCAGCCTCAGTTTCCCTTACTGTGTGTCTTGAGTCAGGGCAGCTGCAACCCTGCCTGAGGCTCGAACCATTCTCCCACCCAACAGCAGGGGGCACTTTTGTTCTTCTGGTAGAGCCTGGCGTGCCGCCTCCACCCCACCCCCACACCTGCCTGGCTGTGCGGCAGACAGCTCCTGAATGACCCCTCTGTGTGGCTGCTGCTGGCTCAGACTCCAGCCCACCTTGGGTGGTGGGTCTGGGTCTTGGCTGGCACATACACCAAGGGGCCTGAAATCATGGAAAATGAGAAAAGTTACCATCTTCTCCTCCAGGCTCAGTCCCGCTCAAATGCAGAGCTGTGCCTGGTTGCTGGCTGGCTGCCTCCCTCCCCTTCCCACAGCCCTCTCCTCACTGATGCAGACCCTGCCCTCACCTCTTGTCCATCGGGACACCCACCTTCCTCTCCTCCAAGGCCTGTTCCACTAACCCATTTGCCCACACATGGAGCAGTGGCCCAGGCAGGCGGTCAGGCCAGCAGCGAGGCCATGGGCAGGCTCTGGAGGCTGGCTTCACCCAGAGGTGGTTGCAGCCTTGGTGCCTGGGTGGCTCTGCACCAAGTGGGAACCAGACAGTGGCTGCTGTTCTCAAAGGGGCCTCAGTACCGAGGTACAGCTCGTTCTAAGGTTGCTGGGCCTCCTTCCCCAGAGAAGCTGGGGCCTCAGGAATCGCCTGCCCTTGTTTTAAAGAGGAGGAGACTAAGGCTTGTAACTGGGAAGGGACTGAAAGCAAGCAATCAAAGAGCCCTTGATTAGCATTGCCTCCCTTTCTACTCCATAGGCCCAGTCAGCATGCCTGTGAAAATGACAGTGACGGAGTGCACCCAACCCAAGGCCACCTGGAGGAGCTGCACCTGAGCCAGGAGGGGCCCAGCCCCGAGGAGGCTGTTGGGGGCTCCCTGGGGATGGCAGGGCCCGGGGAGGCAGAAGAGGTGAGGGCTCCCCAGGAGTCTGTACAACACCCCACTCCTGGGCTGGATCTGCTTTCTTCCCACATCACTCTGTGGCCTTGTGGACTGACCTGGAGCGTCCAGGGCCTCCTGCCCTCCCTGGCCACATTCTAGGTGGTCCTGTGGCAAGTTCCTCCTATGATCCTGCCCAGTGTGCAGGGCCAGACACGGAGAGGACAGAGGCCAAGCCGACAGGCCCTGGGTGGGGACAAGAGGGTGCAAGGAAGTTTCACCTAAGTCATCTGGCTTTCCTCTTCCTAGGACCAGACAGGTGAACAGCCCAGGACACCCAGCCCCTTGGTCTTGGAGGGGTCTGCTGAACTCAGTTCTCCTCCCCTGAGCCCCACCGCCAAAGTAGGTCAAGCCCTACACCTCCCCCTCCTCCCTCTCTCAGGCTTGTGCCTCCACGCTGCTTCCTCCCCTACCCAAGGCTTGGTACCCTATAAACCCCTGTGGCAGGGAAGTGGGTGGCTGGATAGATGGGTGGGGTCATTGGGGGCTGGAGTGTGGGCCTTGCTGTGGCTGCCTATGGCCCACACCTCTGTCTGCCCTATATAGCTAGCTGACCGGACTGAGTGCCTGAACCGCTCCATAAAGAAGAGGTAGGTCTGTCTGCTTGCCAGCATTCTGCAAGACAAGGTTGAGGAGAGCAGCCAAGGCATGGAGGTCTGGGACCTTGGAGGGCTCTGGGAGGGGTTCAGGGTGAGTTGGGAGCACAATAATAGGGAGGCACGAGGCTCAACTCGTCTTCTACCCTTTAGCAACAGTGTGAAGAAGTCCCAGCCAGCCTTGCCCATCTCCAAGATCGACGAGCGTCTGCAGCAGTACACCCAGGCCACCGAGGTGTGCTCAGTCCCCTGTGAGGCCCATCCTCCTCATCTGTGCACCATCCCCATTCCACCAACCACCCATCTACCTAAACAATACTCGCTCCATCTGATCAGCACCCCTCCGTTCAACCACGTCCATCCAATCCAACCAATACTCCCTCCTCCACACCTAGCCCACACCTTCATTCCAGCCATATCCTCCATCCAGCCAATCAGTGCCTCTATCCGCATAGCATGCCTCCATAAACCAGCACTTCCTCAATCTGACCAAAGCCCACAGGGTCCCCGTGTCTACCTCTATCCAGCAATGCTCCCTCTATTCAATTAGCACCATCCACCCAGCCCTCGCCCAACATTCAACTACTGCCTCTGCACCCAACCTGTTCTTTTTACTCTACCTCACACCTCTCGTTCTAACCAACACCCCTCCATTCACGATGCCCCTCCATCTATCCTGCCAATGCTCCTTTATCCAAATCCATCCCTCCACCCAACCACCACCCCTCCATCCAATATCCCTCCATCCTACCAACGCCCTCCTCCATCTAACTCACACCCTCCAACCACAGCTCCTCCATGCACTTGGTGCAGCTCCAGCCTTGTGCCACGCAGCATGGAGACAGACTCCACAAACAAGTGTACCATCAAATCGCTGTCCTCTTCAGAACTGGGGGAGGGGGCTTCCACAGGTGCACTGAGTGAAGGACAGCACATTTGTCCAGCGTACCTGTCTCCACCCTTGCATTGGGAAACCCTCCCGGGGAAAATACAAAGATGAATAGGGGCTCCAGGGGACACTTTGATGGCCCCATGGTGGCTGTTTACTATGATAGCTGTTCTGGGGCTATCTCTTCTGCAGTCTGCTGGTCGGACCCCCAAGCTGTCCCGCCAGGCCTCCATAGAGCTACCCAGTATGGCCGTGGCCAGTACCAAGAGTCTGTGGGAGACAGGAGAAGTACAGACTCAGTCTGCTACCAAGACCCCCTCCTGCAAGGTAGGGCCACTCCCTGGGTAGGGTTGGGCTGGGAAGTTGGAGCCTGGGAGGTTAGCTGCCATGGCCTCTCTTGGAAAACGCGTGTGGGACATCCAAGGTGAAATATGGGTGGAGGGAGCACTGGGGTGTTTGAGAGCATGGTGGAAGGCTGATGGAGAAAGCCAACCAAGCGGGCACAGCGCCTTCTCTCCTTCCCTGAGTCTTTCCTGAGTTTCACTCAAAGGCGAGATGGACAGGCTCCCCATCTCCCAGCCAGGCAAAAGTGAAGGGCCTGGGGCTTTCACGGCCAGGATCTGCCTCATGACAGCTTCCTCTTCTGACCCCAGGATATTGTTGCTGGAGATATGAGCAAGAAAAGTCTCTGGGAACAGAGAGGAGGCTCTAAGACCTCATCCACAGTCAAGGTAGATTTCAATGTACTGGGTGCAAGCTGTGGTGGGCAAAGAGGGGCTGCCCTACATCTGGAAGGGCTCCTGTAGCTTGCACTATCTCCCTCTCACAGCTTGACTCTTGCTCTCCTTCCTCAACAGAGCACTCCATCTGGGAAGAGATACAAGTTTGTGGCCACTGGACATGGGAAGTATGAGAAAGTGCTTGTGGATGAGGGCTCAGTGCCCTAGGCCACCCATCTCGGTGAGTCTGGGGCAGTGACCAGAACACAACACATTGTACATAAGATGCACTGTCTTGGAAACATGGCGGCATAGACAGGGCTCGTCAACCATGTCTTGGGCTGCAAAGCTAGGCCCTGTAGGCCAAAGGCCTGGCCTCAAAGCTGGCTTCATCCCAGACCCAGCTCAGTCTTCCTGGGCCTGGGCAGACTTGGTCCCCCTACCTCACACCAGCCTGGAGCTCTGACCCTCTCACTAGGCCAGGCTGGCTCAGCCACCACTTGTGGGAAGCTCAACGCTCCCTCTGTGGAGTCCTACTATGCCCAGTGGAGCTTGCCAGGGAAACTGGGGCAGTCCAGCCACTGCAGGGTCAGTGTTAGAGGAGATGAAGAGAAGCAGAACCCTGGGAGCATGGTCTCCTTGCACATTGGAAGGCTGAGGGTGAGGGCCTGAAAAGGGGCTGGAACCTAGTCTGACCCTACTATCCTGACTGAGGGCAACTGGAAGCTTCTGCTGCCCTCCCCATCCTGTGGTAAAGACAGAGATGACACCCTGTGGTTAGACAGTATTTATTAGTGACCTTGGTCCCAGGCTCCATCCAAAACACCCATCATATCCCAAGTGGGGCAGCTGCCCTGTCCCCTGCTTTCTCCCCATGCTGAGTCTGGGACTGGAGGTTTCTCCTAGAACCTCTGCGTCCCTCTCCTTGTGGCTGCTGGCCTGTCAGAGTCTGGCTGAGTGTAAGGCCACCTCAGCGCTCCTGCCTGGGTCCCAGCTTCTCCTCTCCTAGCCCAGTGCTGAGGACGCCCCTCCTCATCCAGTCCTGGAAGCCTGGCCTTGTCCAGCACAGGCCCCTGCCACTCTTTCTCCTCAGAAAGTCCTGTAGACAGCAGCCCAGGCAAGGAAGCATGGGAGGAGCAGATGGGGCCATGCTAGCCCTCTTCCCCTGTCTGGTCAGCCCTTCCTACCTTCCTCTCAACACTCTCTCCTGTGCCAGCTCCCACTACCCTGGGCCCCCTTTTTATACCCTGCCTTAGGTCTAGCCTCTGCCATCCATCAGACTTGGCCACCACTCTCTGGCCACCGTTCTCACCCTATAGAATGGAATCTGTCCTCTTGGCTTTGACAGCAAAAGAGAGGGGACAGCCGGCCTGGCTGTGAGGAGACACAGGCAGGTCAATGAGACCCTACCTGGCCACGTTGCAGACCTGTGTCTGTCCTATCATCCTCAAGCTCCCATGGTACATTGATGGAGACTGTCCCCGTCCTCTCCATACCACCAACTGCTCCTCCCACATGCATCCTCCCCATGCTCCCTGCTTCATTCACCTCTCTGACTTTCCTTCCTGCTCCTGACTCCTGGCCTGCCCCCAACCAACAGGCTCCACTCAGCACCCAGGTGCCCTGGCTCCACACCCACCTGCCCCTGTACCTCACTGCACTTTTGCCTGTCATGGCCTCCCTGCTCTAGCCTCAATCTGTCTTCTGTCCACCCCATTACCCTGGGTCCTAGGGGCCCTCTCTGGCCACTTCACTGGAGCCTCCAGCCAGCTGCTGTCCGGTTGAAGTTCTTGGGCTGGGGGCTCAGCTCTAGGATGGAGTGGAGTGTGGGAGGGGGCCGGGCGGCCTCCTGCAGCTTTCGGGCATTGAAGCGAGGCCGGTACAGGAAAGGCAGGCGGCCAAGGCTGGCCAGGGGATGCTCCCCATCTCTGCGGCCCACTGGGCAGTCATGGGATTCAGCCACTGACATGCGGTGTAGTACTGCATTCCACATTCTGGAGGCCCGGGAGGCAGGAGGCTGGGGCCTGGCCAGGGTGGACCCCTCTGTCTGTGTGGGCTCCAGGCTCAGCTCTGGCCCAGGGAATGGGGGCTGCTCAGCCTCTTCCATCAGCTGCTTCTTGAGGCGTGTCCAGCCGCTGACCTGGGGCTTGGGTGCGACTTTGGGGGCAGGGCAAGTGTGGGAGCCCAAGGGTGGAGCGGGGAGTGAGGATCCCAGGGAGCTGGAGACACGTTCAACCTCCGAGGCAGGGCCGGCCCGGAGTGGCTCCTCCAGGCGCTCAGTTTCGGGAACCATAGGGGCTGGGCTGTAAGGCGAGGGTCTGGGTGAGCGGTAGGTGGGAGCTATAGGCACCACCACCCTGATGCCAGCCTCTTTGGACACTGAGGTCTGGAAGCTAGGTAGCAGCCTTGCTTTGGGGGTCTCCTCGGGCCCAGGACTGGCTACCTGGGCCCCAGTCGGCAGGGGGCGAATGTGGACCACTGGGATCAGGGGCTGGGTACTGGGGGTACGTGGGCTTGTGTCTCCATCCTGGTTGCTCGGGCTGCCAGGCAGGGCCATCCTGGGAGGCTCAGGAGTCCCAGCATGTGGGGATGGTGCTAGTTGGATATGCACTTGGGTGATATGGGTGCTCCTTGCTGCAGGGACTGATACAGGAGCGAAGCCACTGGGGGCCCGGACAGGTTCTGAGTCCAGGGCTTCCAGGCTTGAAGGTACCTTGAAGTGAGCAGCTAGGGCCCTGCGTTGAGTGAGGCTGAAGGAAAACGTGGACCTCTGCAGAGGCGAAGCCACGTGGTGGATGACTGGAGTAGGCAAGGAACAGGGCAGGGGGGCTGCCACGCATGGGGCCTTGGCAGAACACGGGACCTCGGTGGCACGCGGGGCTGCAGTCTCCAGGTCATGGCTGGCCTCACTCACTGGGGAGAGGGAGGTGCGGAAGGCCCCTGGTGGGGCAGGGGCAGCCCCTGCCATCTTCTTCTGGGCAGCTTTCCTCAGAAGCTTTTGCAGCCGTAGGTTGTCTTTTCCTGGCTTGGGCAACAGAGGTGGAGGGGGCCCAGGGGGCCCCTTGGTGCCCAGGCCGCCTGCCATCAGGGGTATTGAGGTGCCTGAGATGAGCATCCTGCATTGGAGGAGGAGGGAACAGCAGTTAGCCTGGCCACCCTGCCCTCCCCATGGGTGGAGGCAGATGGTCCCCCATTGTTTAGGGAGGTTGGGAGGTTGTAGGAGCCTGGCTGTTAGAAGCCCTCCTCCTGGCCCCAAACCTTCCAGGGGCCTTCTAAGCTTGTGCATCAACCTCACCATACCCAGGGTGGATGTCAGCCCACCGTCACTCCATGGGCAACTCCAGGGCTCTGTCCTCGGTACTGGCCCTGCACACAAAGCTGGCTCACTGATGTGTATAAACTGGCCCAGGACACAGATCCATGCAGGATGGGGGCAGGAGACCACTGGCGAGCTCTGAGTGGGATGCTTGTGCCTGGATAGCTGCCGGCCGCAGCCGAGGACAGGAAGAGTAGGCTTGCCCGCAGACACGTGAGGGGCGCCATGCCGTCGCCGGCCTGACCACAAGCGCGTCCGTCCGCTGTGAGCCAGTGGTGAGGAGTGGCGGCCAAAAGACCCAGGGAAAGCTGAGGCTGCATCATCAGAGGTAGACTGGCCGGAAGGTGGGAGCAATTTTTGCTGAGCTATGCTAAATGGGATATTCCCGCAGACCTTCTGGCTGGGGTGGTCCTGGCCAAGCCACCCGCCTTGGTTTCTGGGCGCCGCGTGTTTGCAAGGACGTTGACAAATGGCATTTGGGCTGAGCCGGAGGCCGTCTGGTTTGGGGAGGAAGGAGACCTAGGGCTGCGGTTGGGGGTGGCGCTGCTGAGGCAGGAGCTGGGAGAGGCCAGGAGGGGTCTGCTCTGGGCTCACTGCTCTCAGATGCTGACCACCTCTAGGGGGGCCAAGTTTGGCTCTGGGGGACAGTCAGGGTGGTGGGCAGTGCCCAAGCCTAGGGCACCAGAGTTCATCTCAGAAAACAGGTCTCCCAGGGGGCTGCTTGGCAGAATATCTCCTGATTGGAGAAAGGAGTGTGGTCAGGCCTGGGTGGCCACCAGAGACACCTGTGTCATGGAGGGGAGCAGAGGGTCAAGGCTGTGCAGGACACAGCCTGATAATGCTTCTGTGCCCATGCTTGTTCTTTGCAGGTGCAGGTCACCGGTGCAAAGGAGAGTCTCCCATTCCCAGGGGAGACTCCAGCCAGATGCCACCCCCACCCCTGGCCAAGAAGTAGCTTTCCATCACCAATGTGGCCTGCCCTTGTCCCTGAAATACCCCTTTTGCTCCTGGACCCTCCAACCTTTTCCCCTCCCACTCTCCGTCCCCCTCCCCCAGCTCTGCCTCTCACAGCTGGAGGAGGAAAGAGACACCTGACCACTGGCTAAAAGTGATCTAAAAGGACCACCCTCTAGAGAGGCCAACAGCTCCCAAGGAAGGCCAGAAAGAGGGCTGGTCACTCGAGCAGATTCCTGTGCTGAACTCTGTAACTCTCCCTGCCTCTGCTTACAGAGCCCCCATCTTGTGTAATAAAGCACCTTGAGTATCCACCCCCTCACTGGCTCTCCTGTGCTCTCTAATGGGGGGAGGTGATGAGGACTGGCTGGGACAGAAGGGCCACATCAGTTGACCACACTACCCCACACTGCACAGTGCTCACCAGCTCTGGTTTCAGGCCCTCTGTTCTGTCCTATGGCCTTGTGCAGTCCTAGAGCCCAGGATATGAGGGAGAAGGTAGCCTAAGTTGGAGATCCGTGATGGGCGGGGCCTACATTCTTCTCAAACATTTATGACAGCTCCTGGACTTGTCCAATATAAACTTCACAGCACCTGAACCAGTGCACTCTGGTCTTTGCCCCACTGTATGCCCACTAAGGACAAGAGTGACTTGGGGGCAGCTCTTTCTAACACCCAGGAGGTGTTAGTGATGGTTTCCTAGACAGGGAGATGGGTGGGTGGATGAATGGATGGATGGACAGACAGATGGATAAGTACATGGACAGAAGATGGATGATGGATAGATAGCTGGAAGAATGGAAGGGCAAATGGATGGAGTGTGACTGGATGAGTGGGTGGTGGATTAATAGATAGACAGATGGATGAGTAAGCAGGGGGGTAGAGGATGGTGGAAAGGGGGGAGGAGGAAAGAAAGGAAGGAAGAGAATGGGAGGATTGATGCACAAGAAAGAGTGAGTGAGTGGGTGAGTGGACAGAGACAGGGAGGGATATCTTCTCCAGATGTTCCCTCCCCTCACTGGACCTACACTTGGCATGACACTGGGTCCTGCTGCCCCCCACTTCTGGAGCTACTTGACCCCTGATGATTGAGTCTTGACTTTGCCATCCACTTAGCCACTCAGAGCCTCTCCTCTCTGAAGGCTTCATAATCTCACATACATGAACAGCTCAAGAAGGTTAAGGCTCAGCAGAGCCAGCCAACAAAGTGAGGGGGTGGCCCGTGCTTCCCGCCCATACCTCTCTCCTGGACAGTGTGCAGGACTGCTCCGCCATTCTGCCCAGTTGGCAGATGGAATGGCGAGAAAGGGCAGCAAGTAGAGGTCACCCAAAGTCCACGGCAGCACCCAGAGCTGGGCACTCGCAAAGGACCACTGTGGATACACTGAGCAGTGGGAGGCAGGAGGGACCCATGATGCTTTGCTTCCATGACCTGCCCAGCCCTTGGTCTGACCTCAAGGATGAGGGTCCAGGGTCTCCCATCTGCCAGTTTCACAGAGCACTACTGGAGTTTCAGATGCAAATCTACCCCATACTGCTGTGGTGCCCATCCTCCTGCCCAGAACCTGGATGGCAAGCCTCTGCTGCCAAGGGTAAGAGGATCGGAGGGGGGGCACTGTCCAGGAAGCACCTGGTTAGGGATTCTGGGGCATAACCCTCCATCATCCTGCCTGCCTGAGGGGACCCAGCTGCTATACTTCCCACTTCCAGATGCCTGCCGCAGCCCTGCACGCAGAGACACCTGGTGCCTACAGAGCCAGCCTGGGAACCTGCATAACCAGGAGGAGCATACAGGGCATGGAGCAGCTGCCACCTGGATTGGCAGTGGCTCTGTCCCAAGTGCCATGTCAGCTGCTTCTATCCTGGGCCTGGCAGAGCTGGCCACACTGGGTCATCCCAGGGCACTGGATAAGGCTCGGGCTTTGGGGGCTCCTCCACTTGCAGCCACAGGAGCTGGGGGCTAGGACCCAGATTAAGGGGCCCCTGCCTACCTCACCATCCTGGGGGTCACCCACATAGATCCCTCGAGCCAAGATGACTGGGAAGCCAGGCCCCTCACAGGGCTTCCTCCCCTCCTGGCTCAACTCAGTGTTGGCATGCTTTGAAGAACACCCCCCACACACTGCAAGCTGGGTCCTCGGTTTCCTTCTGAGTGAAAATCAGTCCCCGTCATCCAGGCTGGGCCACCCCTACCCCTGTCCTCCTTTAGGGTCTCCAGTTCCCCACTCCCCACGATCGCCAGGGAAGTCCTCTGCCCTGTCTCTTTTCCCCATACCCAGTCCCCCAGCCAGGCCAGATGGGACCTGGCGTAGATTACCTGCTTCAGGTCCTTGGTGGCTGACAGCAGCCTGCCCAGTGGTGCCCACTCTATGCTGTCCTATTGTACCTTGGGGCTGGTGCCCTGAGGAGGAGGTGGCTGTTACCCAGAATAAGACCTGCGCTGTCCCTCTGACCTCACTGCAGAATACCTGCCAACAGGCCAGGGCTCCCAAAGCAGGCAGCCACCCTCCCCTGCTGGCCGAGCAGGGCCACTGCAGAGGCTGTGGCAGGCCTGCCTGTGGGCCCTTGAAGACCCCATCCTGCCTGGGCAAGAAGTTCCCAGGCCAGGCTCCAATGAGGCCTGCACTGAACCAATCTCCCCCTATCCCACCCTGCTTTTCGCTGTCCATGTGCAGCTACAGCTGAGGGTGAGGTATGCTGGTCTCTGGAGCAGAGCCGGGGGAGCAGGCCTGAGAGGGGAAGTCGGCACCATCATGGGAGAGCCTTGGAGGCCCCCAAGTGCCAGCTCAGGCCTTTGCAGAAGTTGCTCAACGGTCAATCCCCATCACCAGAGAGCTGATCAGAGCGAGCCAGGCATCTGGGTTGGATGGGGCCTGCCAAGTTCTCTCCCATCCAAGGGCATGACCAGGTGGACGGGGGTGGCACAGGTTCTGATGAGGAGGGCCCAACAGCTCCAGCTCCAAGGGGCTTCCCAGGGACAGACACTCAGGGAAGAGGTGGGCAGGGGAGGGGCCCTGTCCTAAGAGCCAGCAGCCTGGAAGGCCTTCCCTTGTCCTGTGACCGCAGGCACGTCCCTGCCTGTCTTTAGCCTCTGGCTCCATTTCCAACTGGTAGTGGTTGGGTGAAGTGTCAACCACAGCCTTCCAGAAAGCTTGAGAGTAACCGATGGCACACAGGAGCTAGGGCTGAGATGTTATGAGCTTCCTGCTAGGTCATTCTCTTTCCTAACCCCAAGAGTCTGGAGATCAGGGATCCAGTCTGCATCCCCCACGGTTCTCCCTACCTTTGGGCAATGGCTCCTACTTGACACCAACTTTCTCCCTAAATTGGGCATGGACTCCACCAGCCATGTCCAGACCACAGGGAGTGAGGGAGTGGAGCTCCCCTCAACTTGGTGCCTCAGTTTCCCTAGAGGCAGGGCCATCCTGGCACATGGTCTCTCTGGCAATAATAGGGGCTATCAGAAGCCCACAAGAGAAGTCTGTTGGTTGAATGGTGCCCCCTGGAGTCCTGAGGAAAGATAGCCCAGGCTCCACAGGCACACAGCATGGCCTGCTCAGAGTCAAGCCCTGCCCAGGTCCCTGGAAAGAAAGAGGACCTCAAGGGTCTAGAACCTTTAAAAGGAATACCCCAGACCAATGACAAAGGTGTGGCCCCTGGCCTTGGGAGGCCCCAGCCTCTGAGAAAGAGGCTGTGGATGGCAGCAACCATGAGGCTTAGGCCATGGTTTCTCCTTCCCTTTTATTCTGAATATCCAACAGCGTCCACTCAGAGAAACAAGCCTGGCTTCTACAGGGCTTGGATGTGTTGGGGGCCAAGGACTCAGATGCCCCCATTCTGTGGGTATCCAGGCTCTTGTAAGATAGAAGATGGGAGGTCAGCCTGGGTGAGGTGCCAGGTGGAGGTAGACCTCTGTGCTGGGCACTGTGTTCACTCCCAAGGATGCGTCAGACAGAGAGAGGGGTGCTAGAGAACTTGAGACCTCACTTCTGGGAAATCCCATGGCAGCCTGGCCCATGGACAGCCTCAGCCCCATCCCTGGGCCACCCAGTCTCTTCCTCCTGCCCTCCTTAGCCCATCAAGAATGCGTCCACTGCTGGGTGATAAAAATAGCAGCTGACACCTTCCCGGGGGGGAGGAGGGGACCTTGCCTCCTTCTCCAGGCACGTCTCCTCCATCCTTGCCTCCTTCAGCCTCCTCCTTTGGCCATTCCTATACTTGGTCAGGGGCTTGCATGGGCACACCCTCCCTCCATGCCCCAGCCACCCAGCCACTGGCCAATGGGCTGCTGGGAAAGATCGAATGTCCCTATAACATGAGTGTGTGCGAGGGCAGGCAGTGCCTACAGCTGTCCTATCCTCAGGGAGCTCCAGCCCTTCTCAGTCTCAACCAACCACAGGTGGGTATGGGTTCGAGCGGCCCTGGGTGGGGTGACTGTGTCAGGCTGCTCTGCTGGCATATGAGGGGCCCTGGGGTCCTGGGGCTGAGGTCCTTGCACCTGGCCTGGAAGCATGGTGGCCGGAGCCTTGCGGCTACCAGGATCCAAGTCTTGGATTCTGACATGGAGTCATGATGTTCTCTGAGCCTTAGGTTGAGGCAGGAGACCTGGCTCCAAACCAGAACTGGGGAGGGGAGGTGATCCTGGGAGCTTCAGGGGTGAGGAGTCCCCCTGAGGTGGGAGCTGGAAACAAATGAGGAGTGTGAGAGCAGAAACCCCCGCGCGGGGGATGCTGCCCAGAGCGTCAGTGGCTTCCTGCTGGGATGCAGCTACTGGGGGCTTGTCTGGGGCTCTGTGGGGACCCCTGTGAGGAGGAGGGGAGGCTGCAGCAGCCCCTCCGCCCTGATCTCCCTTTGCCATTTTGTAGAGACGATAACTAAGGGGCAGGTGGGGAGGGTTGTCCCAGGTCACCCCAGGAAGGATCCTTCAGGGAGAGATGTCTGGGCCCCAAGCAACTCCCTGAGGTCTGGGTCAGGAATGGACAGGGGCTGGGCTGGGACAGGCTAGAACAGGAGGGGATGGGCCAGGAAGCAGGCTGGGAGTAGCAGGTGCTCCTAAGAGGCCCCAGCCCTCTCCTCCTTGCCCAGGTCTCCCTGAAAGCCCCCAGCTGGGCATCCTTGCCCACCAGTCCTCCTGAGCTTTCTGTAGTTATGGAGAATCCTGGGCAGCAACAGTGCCAGGCAAGGTTGGCCAGAGAGGAATGGATCCAAGGCAGGGCGTGGTTAGGGTTCCATAGCAAGTCAGTGGCAGGACCTCCTGCCCCCACCCCACCCCTTGGGGCTTGTCACCTTCAAAGGAAGGAAGGATGGCATGTGTCCCCAAGGAACCTGACTTCACAGACTATTTTCATACACCCCCTCTGAGGGCAGAACACCGTCCTGGACAACTGCTTTCCTTCTCAGTTGCCAAAATTCCCTCCCTACCCCAAGCACGCACCTCCACTCTCCACAACTGACAGGGACAGTGACACAGAGTATACAGAGAGGGGAGGGGCCCGGAGCAGCCCTGCTGGGCCTTCCAGCATTCAGGAGCCTCGGTTTCCCCACCTGGAGAGGGAGCCCTTGCTACCTCACCTTGGAAGAGGGCAGGAGTCCTCACTGGATACCCGCAGGAGCCAGGAGAGGGGGCCAGGAGAGCTGGACTGCTCTCACAGTCCCCCCAGCGCCCCCCCGCCAGCCCCCACGCCCCGATGTCTTGGGTTTCTGGGCAGAGGCGTCTTGTTAAGTTTGATGGCTATTTCTGGACAACTCAGCTGCCACTGACTCCTTATAAATACCCTTTCCTGGGTTTGGGCCACATGCCCACCCCACCCCCAGCAGCTGACAGGTGTGGGCCCTGCTGGGGCCAGAGGTAGATGATGTAGGGCGGGCCACCCCTCGCTGACCCTCCCACCCAATAGAGAGTGGCTCTTGGAGGACACAGGGAGGTTGGGGCCTGAACCTGTCCCCAAGAGGGCAGCATCCAAGGACTAAGGAGGGGGCAGTGGGCCAAGAAGGACCAGCCGGACGGGTGGGCAACCTTGGCTGGTTGTCTGAGGAATAATGAGCCCCCCCCCACTGCAAAAACAAAACAAAACAAAAACAAAAACCCCAAACCAATCAATAACAAAACAAAAAACAGGAGAGGCTGTACCCAGAGGGCCCGCAGAGTCTAACGCAGGGGTTCTGGGATGAGGCGAGACTGTGCCCTGTGCCTGGACAAGGGCCTCCCAGAGAGCTGAGGGTTAATTCTGCACAGAGCATATCAACAGGGGTTGGAAACAGCTCCCACCTAGCACCGAGCTGCAAAAGCATTTTTTGCTGGTGAACGGGTGTTTTCTTATACTAGCTCCCTGGGGCACCAACACCATTGTCTTCAAGTCAGCTGTAATATTGTTTTCTACACCTCGAGCCAACATTCTGATAAAGCTGTTCCACGTGTTCCCAGGCCCCAGCCACCACAGACATGTGCAGTAGCCAGCTCACGGAAGAATGTCCGCGAGCGATCTGACCCTGCACTGACCACACCTGGACACGTGTGACCAGTCCTGTGCACAGGGCTTTCCCATAGACATTCACAAATTCCAGAGCATCTAAGTGTCTAGGAAAGCTGGGGTGTTGTGTTGGCTCAGATCACTTAATACCTCAGATCACTTTGCTGACCCTGGCCTGATCAGCAAAGGAGACAGGATAGCTCAGGTGCCCTGTGACTTGGAGGAGCGTCCTCAGAAGGCTCTGGGCCACCCAACAAACCAACTGGGTCCTCAAGGGAACCATGAGTCACAGAGGAGTTCTTTGGTGGATGGTGGGGCCAACAGTTGCTATCACTCCTGTGGGGGAGCTGGGCTTGGTCATGGGGGACACTCCCAAGTCAGAGGCCAGCAAGAGACAGGTTCAGCTCAAACCAGAGCTGTCCCAGCTCCAGAGCTGCCCACAGGGTGCTCCCAGGCATGGACAAATGCTCTGCTTTCTGGATGACCTTCCTGGAGGATGTCATAGAGAGGGCTGCCCCAGAAGGGGTGGATGCTATGAACTTTGAACAACCTGTCCAGCTGTAGGAGTCCAAATTCCAGGAGTACCCAGGGCAGAAAGGAGAGAGTAGAGTCTGGGGGAGGCAGGAGGGAGGGACAATGCAAAGACCAAGGTTGGCCCTGAAGTCCTATCTGAGATGTCCCCGCTCACCCCTCCCCCCTCCCACTGCCTCTAAGCCAAGGCAACTCTTAACTGTCCCCCTCTCCCCACCCCTTTGCAGGAACAGCCCACCTCCACCATGTCTGACGAGGAAGTGTGAGTACCTGTGGAGCCTCTGTGTGCAGGGGCGGGACCTGGCTGGTGCGCAGGGCCTGGGGGCCTGCTGACAGCTGTCAGTCTGCCTGAGCCTCCCTCACCTATTCTCTCTCTCTCTCTCTCCTACCTATTCCCTGCAGTGAACAGGTTGAGGGTGAGTATCACAGTACTTTCTTTCTCTTTACTTCCATCTCTAGACAGAAAAGTCACTCTCAGAAAAGTCACTCTTGGACGGTGGACTGTATGTGTCCCTTTGCGGGCGAGTCCCAGGTGGGCTAGATCAGCAGGCGGGCTTCAGAATGACCCCTCCTCAAATGGCCCTATACCTCTGGCCTCCTGTTTCCCTTTGAGGTGGTCACATCTGAACCCTCACCACCCTGAACACCTGTTGGGGGCTGTGTGGTTGGTCTCCGACTCTGTCACCCTTGACCATTGTCACAGCCACAGTAGGACACGATATCCAGGGACACACAGTGTTGCTCTTGGGGCCAAGTGGTTTCCTCCTTCAGGGCCAGACAGCCCTCTTTGGACCAAGGATCCAGGCCCAATTTCTGGCCAGAAGATACCACTTTGCTGTCCAGGGATAGGACAGGCTTGTCTCTTGCCCTCCTGGCCCTCTCTGGGCACTTATGCTAACAGTTCCTCTCTTCTGTTCTATCCCAATGCAGAGCAGTACGAAGAGGAAGGTAATTCTGGAGGCCCTTGGAGGCCCCACAGCCTCCCCCCAGTCCCTCCTCTTAATGCAGTCTTCCCCCTGCATCCCCCGCTTGGTGAAGTCCTGCCTCCCCCTTTCGAGGGTCATCCCTGAGCTGTCAATTAACTGTCAATCTTCCTCATCATTAATTCACCATTAACCATCACCATTTGTTAATGATTCACAATGTAGTCATTCAATTAATGGCCAATGACCTGATCATTAATAAAATCCTTAACTTCTATCTCCTCAGTCAATTAATAGACATTCATTAACCCCTCATGGATGCCTGGTGGTCACGGGGCTCTTGGTGTGTGGAGTTGATCTGGTCATTAAAACTCTCATTCATTAAAATGAAGGGCCTCCACCCACATGCAGCCGCTTCCCAGTGTCTCTCCCTCGCTGTCTCGCTGTCTCTTTATCTCTGTCTCTGTGTATCTCTCAGTGTCTCTCCCTCCCTGTCTCTGTCTCTGCCTTTTTCCCTCTTTGTTTCTATCTTTCTGTCTCTACTTCCCTTTTTCTCTGTCCCTGTCCCTCTATACTTCTCCGTCTCTATGTCTCTGCCACTCTGTTTCTTTGTCATCTCTGTCTTTCTGCTTCTGTCTCTCTCTGCCTCTGCTTCCATCTGCCTCTGTTTTTCTCTCTGTTCCTCTCTCTGTCTTTGTTTCTCTTGGTGTCTCTCCACATCCCTCCACCACCACTCTTGTACCCTTGGAGGACTCAGAGACTTTTCCCCGGCTGTCATGCCTGGGCAGGTGCAGGCAGGTGGATCACTGAGCTGGCGCACCTGGGAGTGGCGTGGCACAGCTTTTCCCAGGCCCGACGGCACTGCTAGGCTCCTGGCACCTGCTCAGCCTGGAGAGGCTTCATGTAGCTTCCCCAGGCAGCCAACCTGCGAGGGCTGAGGGAACTGTTTTGAAAATATTTTGAAAACACTTGCTACCTTAACAACGTGAGCAAAACAGTTCTTTTTCTGCTGAAAGGTGGAAAGGCTCATTTCTGAGAGGGAAATGTGACCCTGGGTGTCACACTTTCCCCATGAACGGCCTGGGGTGGGGGTATGTTCTTGAAGCCCCCTAGTGCCAACCTCGAAGTGGGCCGAGTACACAGTTTTCTTATTACACATGGGCTCTGTCCCTGCTCCTCACTTTTGTCTGCCACAGAGAAGGTGGTAGTAAGAACCTCTTCCTATACAAACCCCTTCATGTGAGGGCTGGGCCTCAGGAGGCAGAGAGGGGCCCAGGCCCCAGGTCCCCAACAAGGGTAGCACCTGTGTAGCCTTGGGTGACTGACCGTCCCAGGGATTTCCTGCTCCCCGTGGTTGGCTGCTAGCCAGAAACGTGGAACTGGCCGATCTTTCCCTCCAAGGCCAGAGTGGCCCCTGCCTGTCTCCCACCAGCCAGCTTCTGTCCTCACCCTTGAGCTACCCCTCTAATGGGTGTCCTTGTTCCTTCTCTCTCTCTCCCTTCTGCCTCCTCCCGCTGTCGACTTTTCCCACCCACAGAAGAGGCCCAGGAGGAAGGTAAGGGGGTCCAGGACCCCAGCCCCCACATCCACCCCCCAACCTTCCTGACCCACCTGCCCTGATTCTCATAGCAACCCTGGCGTGCCCACCTCCCCTTTGTGGGGCCGTGACCAGGCCCCTGCCTCTAAGGTTTTGCTATGTGCTCCCACCTAATCCTGAACTCTCTCCTTCCTGCCACCCTGCATTCCCTGGCAATCCTTGGCTGCAGAAGTCCATGAGGAAGGTACGAGGACACAGGACTTCTGGTCCCCATGTGGGGCCCGGGGCCTGGCTGGAGCCCACAGGGTGGGGGATGGGGTGGGGAAGCAGTGAGGTGCCAGCCAGCCAAGGGGCCCCACATGTGGCCCCATGTAACCCACTAACCATGGCAAATGCTTGACCAGAGAGGGTGTAGCGCCCTGAGGGACCCCCACAGGCAGCACAGGCAAGGCCCCCCGAGAGTTCATATGGCTTATGACCTTACATTCCCCACTCAAGAGTGGGCAACCACACACAGTAGGGAAACCTGGGGACCAGAGCGGGAGCACGGAGAGCCCACAGTGGCATCTGACCTCTCGGCTGGGCCAGGACCCCAGACCAGATGTCAGGATAGCTCAGAACATCCGGGAGAGAGACAAGGGAAGGTAGAGGCCCTGCAGCCTGGCCTGAGGTGAGGGTGGGCTCCCGGGTCAACCTTCTGTGCAGCTTTGTCCCCAAGTGGACCCAGCAGGAGCCCTGTCCCAATTCTCCTTAGGGCCCAGGGCAGGACGGGATGAAGAAAGGGGTTTGTGTGTAGCCATTAGGACGGCAACAAAGGGGGTATCCTGGGTGTGCCTCCCACACCCAGAGCCTGCTTAGTTCTGCCCTTGGCTCCAGTCCTGCCTTCAGGCTCCTGGAACCACCTTACCAGGCTGCAGCCTTAGGCAGGGGCCATGCTGCCCCACTCAGAGGTGAGGAAGCCCTGGGGGGCCCTGAGGGAAGACAGGAGGCGAGGGGGGTAGCCAAAAAAGGGACAGCCCCAGTGAGCCACCACCACAACAGTCAGAGCTGTTGTTCCAACCCCCAACCTGAGTTTCCCTACTTGTGAGGGAGGGCTGGGTTCATTCAGGTCTTCTCAGCCCCTCTTGCTCCCAAGTTCTAAGTGGCCCACCGGATCTGGGGTATGGGACAGGGAGGGGTGGGATTGGGTGACTGCATCCCAGCTAACTATGACCATGTCTTGCTGGCTTCCTGCACGTGCCCCACCCCTCGGCCTCGAGTGGCAACGGGTTCTCTTTAACCTCGGATCCCCTCACCTCTGACCTCTGACCCGCGGTTTTGCCTCTTGTTCCGTGGCCCTCCTTAGCCCATGAAGTTCATGAACCAGGTATGTGACATGACTTCAATGCCACGTGGCACATGTAGCCGTGTGGGAGGGCGTGCAGGAGCCGGGCCAAGAAGGAACAAGAGGGGCCGTGTAACCCACTCACACCCTGGTTCTGCTGCTCATGGACTGCCTCCACCCTCCCCACCCCTGCCTTCCTTCCATGCTGTCTCCACTCACTTGTTCTCTCTCCTCCTTCCCTCTCCCCACCTGGGTGCTTCTCTGCAGAGGAAGTCCAAGAAGGTAGGTCCCTGAGCAGCCCCCCAGAACTCTCCCTGTGTCCTCTTTTCCTTTCTCCCTCCCACCTCCCTTCCTGACAGCCACACCTCTCCTCCTGACATCCCAACCACTGACTAAGGTCCTGGCCTCTGGGTTGGGGACAAAGTGTGGCTAGTTCACCTGGAGTGCTGGCCTCGATAGGACTGGCAGATGCAGGCTTCCTGCCACCCCAACCCCATTGTCCTGGCAGTGTTCAGGAGCAGGGGGCAAGGAGGCCCTTCCTGGGCTACTAGCAGGAAGATAGAAGGTGTAGGGTATTCTGGACCTGCAGGACAGGCCTTGGGAAGATGGTACTGGGATCCTCTGGGACCCTCTGGATCTACCAGAGTGGGGCAGAGAAAAGCAGAGGAGGAGGGGCAGGAGAGATGGCCTCCACCGTGCACCCTGCTCAGATAGTAACCGAGAGGAGGGAGAGTGAGGAGGGGTAAGGCTGAAGGGAGGGCAGAGGGGCAAGTGGGGTGAAGCAGAGGAAAGTCGGGCTGAGGCCCAGGTGGAGATGTCGGGGTCCTGGAACAGCTGGGGTCCACGCATGCAAATGAGCAATCAGTGAGGTCCGAGCATCCCACCCGTTATCTGGACCTGAGCCAGACACATGCGGCAGGCAGGCAGGCAGGAAGGCGTGAGGGGAGCAGGGGGCCTGCCCTCCTTGTAGCCTCTGTGGAGGGAGGGAGTTGCAGATCCAAGTCAGGGGCCCAAGTAGGGAGCTCTTCTCAGCCTTTCTGTTCAGAGGGCTGCCTTTGTGGGGCTGCAGGGTCCCCTCTGTCATCCTGAGCCCCTGCCATCCTCCCCTGGCTTCAGAGAGGCCACCTAGACAAGAAGTGACATACCAGGAGTGGACCTGGGGTGGACTCTCAGGCCATGCAGGACAAGTGTCCATGAGCCAGCCTGTAGGAACCACGAGGTCACCAGGCCACCCTGGGACCAGCCCTGAGGCCAGCGAATGAATAGACAGACAGGAGGGTGGGGAGGCAGGGCGCATGGGAAGCTTTGCTGCTTGGCCATATAGCCACCTCCCCTACAGCTCTTGGCCCCCGTTCTCAGGACCCCAGGGCCACAACCAGGTACCACTGTAGCAGGATCTCACCAGGAGAGGGTGAGGCTGGCAGCCCTTCCCCAAGCCTCTCCATTTGGCTGTACTCCCACTACCCCCTTCCAGGAGTCCATGTACAAAACTGAGCTGCCCATCTCAGCTCAGTTGCATCTCAGCTGTGCTGGGTGCAATGTGTGATCTGGGAGAATGTGTGATCTCTGGGAACATGTGCTCCAGGCAGACCCCAGCCACGTGCAGGCACTAGCCAGAACTAGTGGTCAGGACTTCCACCCCCAACTTCCAACCTTGGATAGGGCCTGCTGACCACTAGCCAAATGCACAGAAAGGTGCTGGAGGTCAAAGATGCCTTCTCAGCAGGCTTTACAGTGTCCAATAGGCCATATCAAGGAAATCTTGTATGAATGACCTTGTCACCAGCTAGGGTCCAGAGCAGAAGTGAAGGAACAGTGTAGGGCAGGGTGATAGAGACCCACTGAAGACCCTGGCTGTGGCCAGGCCCAGCCAGGACCTCCCCAAGGCTCATGGCCATTGACTGGTCAAATGGACATTTCTAGACTCAGAAGGGCTCCTTGGGCCAACACTACAAGGAGTTAGAAATAAAAAAATCTGTGAGGCCCACGCAGATGCTCAGGGAAATGACTGTAATGGAATGGTTTCATGACCTCCTGGCTTTCAGCCCAACAAAACTGACCTTCAAGGCAAAGGACAGAGCCTCAAGATCTGCTCAGGGCAAAGAGGCTGCTCCCAGCCCAGCTCCTGCCTCCATGTCAGGATGACCAAGGCCAGGTCCCAGTGCCCTCCGCTCACAGCTAGATCTTCCCAAGTGGGGCTCTCCACCAGCACCCCTCTCCTTTTAAACCTCCCCAGACAACAGCACTCTAGTTCTAGTTACAGGTCCTCACAGGGATCCAGGCCCATAGGGAGAGGGAGGGCATGGCGCTGCCCGGCCGCTGTTGGCCCCATAGCCCCATTCCTGGCACTGCTGTTCTTGTGGCCAACGCTTCCTTGCAGCCGTGTGGCTTTTCTTTTGCATGTGTGCTTGTGCCTGCACCATGAAGACGCCACTGAGGATGAGCGGGAGGAGGATGAGGAAGGTAAGGGCCCACCAATCGCTGGACGCAGCCCCTGCTCTGTCCGCGCAGGACCCTGGCTTTGACCTGCTCTGCCTACCCGAGACAGAGAGGACCCACCCACCTAGTGTCTATGTCACTGTCTCTTCATCCTGTTTTTCTTTCTCCCTGGCATGGGAGCCTTGATGGTGGGGCCTTGCCGCTTTGTGTGGTGTCTGCCATGGGGCTCAAGTGCCAGGGCCAAGCTTCTGCCCATCCAGAGGTGGTTGGTCAAGGGACAAGTCAGCAGAACAGTGGCTCACAGCCTCTTTGGGGCACCTTCCTCCAGCTCTCCTGTCTCCCTGCCTCATCTTCTGCCCTCTTCCCTTCCTGGGCCTCTGAGGACATTCACTTCTTGTTGTGATTTTCCTCTCCTTCCCTTTGCCCCTATATCCTAAGCCCTTCTCAGAGTCCCCTGGGGGCTTGCACAGGCCTGGAAGGGGGACAAGACCCCTTTGCTTCTGGTGGAATGGATGGGTAGGGGATGGCCGCAGCTGGAGAGGCAAGTGGTCCTACAGGCCTACAGGAAGCCCCCAGCTAGATGGTTCCAGTGGGCAGGAGGGGCTGCCCTGCCTTACCTGATCTCTCTTTTCCCCCTCTTTCCACACTGGCGCTGTGACCAGAGGAGAAGCCAAGACCGAAGTGAGTAAGGATGGGGCAGGCGCTGGGTGTGGGTCAGGGTAGGAGGTCTGGGCCTGTTTTGAAGGAAAAGCCAAGTGCACAGAATGATGGGGACCAAGGTTGCCTTGGAGATGAACCAGAAGACGGTAGGGCATGGCTCTGCCAGTGGTGCCTGGTGTAGGCAAGAAGGACTGTATGTAGGAGAAGGCCACCAGCTAAGGAAGGAGAGGCTGGGTGGGGAAAGTAGGGGGAAGGAAGCTGAGGAGTGGTGCAGGGTGTTGGGCACCCCTAGCCTGTTTAGACCTCTCCATGCCTGGTTGGGTTGAGGTATATGGGAGGGAATCTCCCAGGGTCCCAAATGTGAAAAGTGGGGTAGGAGTTGGGACGTGCAAGGGTCACACCTCAGACACCTACTTTGGATGCACTGTATCCAAATTAGCCTGCTGCCTGGGGCTCTGAGCCCTCAGGGAGCAGCTCTTTTGAGGAATGTCTCGTCCTCCTCACCCATTTGTGAGTGCTCCAGAGTTCTTAAAATCCAGCTCCTCTGACTGACTTTCCTGGGCTTTGGTAGCACTTCCAGGCCCACAGCTGTCTGTCCCTGATTCACTCCTTATCTTCTGAGCCCTCTTGCCTGCACCTGGCTGTGCACAGGAGGCAGAATTTCAGGGCCTATGAGCTCACACCCCATGGTAGCTCCCACATTCTCAACAGGACAGCGAAGACATGTACAGGGTGTGACTGGCAGAGCCATGTCCCGTACTCTACCTTTCAGCAATTTTAAATAAAGTAATGTAGGGTCGTGAGCTACTTTCTCATTTTAGAAAAGTTGTTTATGTTTTCATTATGAAAATAAAACACCTCATTAAAGAAAATTTGGAAACTACGTAAAAGTCAAGTGAAGAAAAAAAGTCCATCCATAATTCTCCCGCCCACCCACGCACCCACCCACCCACCCACCAGCCAGACTGTGGGAAGGAGCAGAAAGAAATAAAAAACCTTATTTCTTCCTACTCTTTTTCCATGCAAAAGGCTTGGAAAAAAAAAGATCTCAACTTTGCTGCTTTTCAAACATGGGACTGTCTATACAGCCTTGAATTCTGCTTTTTCAAAAAATTTAGCACTATTCATAAGTATTTTTCCGTGTTTTTACATAGTCTTCTTAAATATTTTGAATGGCCACGTAATATTCCATCAATTGGACAAACCATAATTTTCCTAACCATTCCCCCGATTGCAGGCTTCCCCCAATATTTTACTACCATAAATAACACCGAGTGGAAAGCATTTTCCGTCTTTGGGCTATTTCCCTAGGCTACATTCCCAGAACTGAAATTACTGGGTCAACCAGTGTGAACGTTCTTAAGACTCTGACGTTCATTGCCAGATTGCCTTCCACCAGGGCCTGGCCAAGGTGGCCTCCTACGTGGGATGTGAGCCGTCTGTGTCCCACTTCCTCCTCACCCAAAGACAGAAATGTGCTTTTGCACCTCGGCATTGATGGATGGCGAGCAGGTCACGGTCGTTTTCCTCCTCATTTCTCCGTGTTTGTTAACCGCTTGTCTTCCTTCTTTGAGGATTGGTAGCTTACGCCCTTGCTCATTTATCTACCAGCAGACATGTCTCTATGTTTTCTTAATCATTAGTTTGCATAAGGATATCAGTCTTCTCTGTATTTGTTGAATGTATTTTTTTAAGTCTGGCATTTTTTTCCCCTGCGTTTCAATTTTTGCCTTTTTCGCATACATAAGTTTTTCATTTATACCACATCATCTGCACATCCTTCCCTTGGAGAGGACTTCTGGGGCTTCAGAGCCTAGAAAATTCCTTCCTGCTCCAGGTTTTGATCCATACTCAGCTCCACTTTCTTCTGTGGCTTGTTTTTAAAAGCCTTGTTGTCCTAACTCCCTGCTCCATCTGGAACGTTTTGGCGGCAGGAGGGGTCGCACAGCCAGCAGACTGGGGGCTTCTTTCCTCTTCAGACTGCTTCTTCTGAACACCCCCCCTTTCTCCTTCCTTTGGGCCCTCAGAAAGAAAGATTAAAGAGTGGCCAGAGAAAAGGGAAGAATCTCGACCCTCAGTCCCGACCACTGAGGCGGATAACACCCACTGCCCCCAGAGGGCTGCTAGTGTCCACTCTGCCTTCAGATAAGACCAGGCCATGCTTGTTTAAATATCTGGGAAATAAACTGAGAAATGGGGTGAAATAGCCTGCAAAGCAGAAAGGGACACAAAAATTTTGGAACCTTCTTGAAAGGATCAAGCCAGTCTCGGGATGTGAGTTATAAATCAGATCAGAACGAAGTTCAGGCAAATGCGCCAGTTGGCAAGGTGCCCTTTGTCAGGTTCAAGAGGATGAGAGCTAGCCTGGGGCCAACTCAGGCATAGTCAGGCAACCCCTGGATATCCCTGCTTATAAACCAATCTCTTTCTTCCTTAGACTCACGGCTCCTAAGATCCCAGAAGGGGAGAAAGTAGACTTCGATGTAAGTTTATGGGACCCAGATCAACCCCCCAACTCCCAGACTTGGAGCTCCAGTCTAGGTCTAAGGACAGACTCAGGCAGCCAGAACTGGGGCTTCCTAATTCCAGGCAACTCTTCCAGAATTCATTCTTGGACCTGAGGAAGCTCCTCCAAGAGTAGATACCTTCTTTCTCCCTCCCTCATCCATCTTTCATTCCTCCATCATCTATCCTTCCATCCATTGTCCATCCATTATCCATCCACACATCCATCCATCCATCCATCCATCCATCCTTCCATTTCTCCAATCATTCATCCACCCATCAGTTCACCCATCCACACATCCATCCATCCATCCATCCATTTCTCCCATCACCTGCCCATCAATTCACCCATCCATCCATCATCCATCCTTCCTTCCATCCATTTCTTCATCCATCCATGCACCCATCAATTCACCCATCTACTCACCCATCCACCATCCCTCATCCATCATCCACCCATTCACCCATCCATCCACGTATTCATTTCTCCCATCATCCATCCGGCCGTCTATCTCTTTATCCTTCCACCATTTATCCACCCATTTACCTATCTGTTCATCTGTTCACCTGCTCTTCCTCCCGTCTGTTCAAGTTTACCTCACTCACCAGTCTCTTCTTAGCCGGATTTATGCATTTCCTCTCGGAGGATGACAGAGCCAAGCCTGAGCCAGGGATGCCTCCGGTTCACCTGCAGGAAGAGCAGCATCCCCACACCAGGACTTGGGAAGCAGGCCTCCCAGGGCACCAGGAAGGCAGTAGACATGAGGACCTGGCAAGGCAAGACAGTTGTCATGGTGGCCAGAGGAGGAAGAGACTCTTAGGCAGAAGGTGCCCCTTGCCACCAGGCAGGTCCCATGCTGGAGAGGAGGGGTGGGGACTGAGGGGGCATCTTTTGCCCACAGGACATCCAGAAAAAGAGGCAGAACAAAGATCTCATGGAGCTGCAAGCCCTTATTGACAACCACTTTGAAGCCCGGAAGAAGGAGGAGGAGGAGCTGGTCGCGCTCAAGGAGAGAATTGTGAGTATAGCTGCTCTGCAGAGGCCACTGGGCACTTGGCGGATGGGCATGGCGAGGCTGGGCTGACTGGCTTCTTGGGTGCAGGAGAAGCGCCGTGCAGAAAGGGCTGAGCAGCAGAGGATCCGCGCCGAGAAGGAGCGGGAACGCCAGAACAGACTGGCGGTGAGGATCATACCACGTTGCCTGCACCCAGCCCATGACCTCAGAGAAGTGTGGGACCTAAGGATCTTCCTTCTTCAGGGGTCCCCACTGCATGGCTAATGATCAGAGCCCCTGGCTAAAGCCCCTTGCCCTGCAGACGCCCTACGAGAGAGCAGACCCTGACAACTGGAGCTTCCTTTCAGAAAGTTCTAAGTCCAGGGTGGGTCCTTGAAGCCTGCTCAGAGAGCACCGTTGAGGTTCTTGGGATGGGGTCTCCATAGGAGGAGAAGGCCAGGAGAGAGGAGGAGGATGCCAAGAGGAGAGCTGAGGATGACCTAAAGAAGAAGAAGGCTTTATCCTCCATGGGAGCTAACTACAGCAGCTACCTGGCCAAGGTGATGGGTGTGCTCAGAGCCTGGGTGGGAAAGAGGTGGCCTTCGTCCTGGGCTAGTGCCTGCGCCCTTCCTGAGACCAGGCTCTTCTGTTTGGCCTGTCCCCTTCAGGCTGACCAGAAGAGAGGCAAGAAGCAGACGGCCCGGGAGATGAAGAAGAAGATTCTGGCAGAGAGACGCAAGCCACTCAACATTGACCACCTCAGTGAGGACAAGCTGAGGTGAGGGACGGCTGGTACAGAGGGAGGGGGTGGCTGCAGGGTGGCTGCAGGGTGAAGCGTGGGCCCTTCACCGAGGCTACTGAGTCCCAGTTTTCTGTGGTGGCCAGAGGAGGATTTGGGGACTTAGGTTCTGCCTTTCTGGCATAGCCCACCAAGCCTCACCTCTTCTGCCTCCCAGGGACAAGGCCAAGGAGCTCTGGGACACTCTGCACCAACTTGAGACTGACAAGTTCGAGTTCGGGGAGAAGCTGAAACGGCAGAAATACGATGTGAGTCCAGGCACCTCTAGGTTGTCCCTGACAGTGGGGTGCCACCTCCTCATGGCTCCATCAACCTCAGCCCCTCCCTGCTACCTGGGCCTACAAGCACATTGGCCAACTCTGTCATGGGGCTGTCTTAAGTTCTGGCTATTGCCAAGGCCACATGAGATGCCCACTTCCTCAGAGCAGGCAGACGGGGCGATATACACCTCCACCTGCATCCGGAACGGGGGGCTGGGATTGTGTCCCCTCCAGGGGGATAGCAAGCTGGAGGATGGCTTTCAAACATAAGCAAACTTCCTACACAGATGCTGGCCTTGAGGGCAAAGTAGGTGGGGAAGGCTATAGAAGGCGGTGGGGGCTGGGGGTGGGGGGGGAGGACAGGACTGAAGCTGAACTCTTTCCCACCCATGGGAGCTTGCGTGGACACAGAGAGTGGCACCAATCCTGGGGAACGAATGCATTCAGTGCAAATTCAGGTGCCTAGCGCTTCTCCATCAGAGCCACAATGCCAGCCTCTCTCTCTCCTCTCACCCCTCCATCGTCCCCAGGGAAAGGGTAGTTCCTAACTGAAGGGCAAGTACCAGGACCTCTCCCACAGTCACCTAGCCAGACATCCTGCAAGTCCTGGCTCCTCAGGACCTCTAGACAGGTGATTCACCTGCCCCTCAGTGTGCTCATCTCTACGGTGGCATGGCAATCGCGCCCCTCCCGCACCCTTGCAGGAGGAGAGCCATTCCACACCCTTGAGGTTGCCACTGGGTGCTGTCCCAGAGATGGCCGTGTCTCACAAAGCACTGCCCAGCTCTCCTGGGTATCAGCAACACGGCCTCCAAATCTACTGTCCATGTCAGGTCCCCCGAGGCTCAGAAAGCCTCTATGGCCATTGCAAGGCTAGCTTGGCACACAACAGGGCCTTGAAGCCTCACCCGCCCACCCAGCGTGGTAACCATCTTGGTCTTTCTAGATTATGACTATGCGGGCCAGAGTGGAGATGCTAGCCAAGTTGTGAGTAGCTGGCGCCCGCCACGGGCCAGGCTCATGGGTGTGCAATGCACGATGGGCCTCTCGCATGGCAAAGGCCTGGGTCGCTGAGGATGCTGGTGGCAGGAGGCCTTTCTCCTCCCCTTCCTGCCCCAGCTCCTCCCTCTTGTCTCCAGCCGGTGGCTTTGAGGTAGCCTGCTGCCCTCGTTGGCAAGTGAGGAAGGGCCTCACCTTCCCAGAGCTTCACTGGGAGTCAAGGGCACCTTGGCCACTGTGTCAGGAGCAGGAAGCATGGACCAAGGAGCAGGAGGGTCAGGGTCAGGGGTTTGGCTGGAAGGAGGGGGTCTTCAGGCCTCACCTCTACTCTGCCCGGTACCCGCTGCCTGCATCCTGCCACAGCCAGAAGGTAAGTGGCCAGCTCTGAAGCTGCTGTGTGTGGTAGCCAGCTAAAGCTTGTCGAGACACGAGCCCAAGGGCAAGGAACAGAGCCCTTCCACAAAAGGAGCCAGGAGACAGTAAGGGAGCTGGCACAGGAGGCTGTGGCCCAGTCTCTGCCCTGGGGATGCTACAGTCCTGCCCACCCACGTGGTGAAGACGTGAGACACCTGGCCAGTGCCCAGCAGGGCTTCCTGGGTCCCAGTCACAGTAAGTCACCTGTGTTGTTTACAGATCACCAACCTCAGGAGTCGCATCGACCAGGCCCAGAAACAGTGAGTAACTTAGTCCACCCTTGCTCTGCACTGGCCACAGGTTCCTCCAGGGCCAGACACCATCCATCCCACCTAGGCCTTGCCGATTTAGCCAGTCCCTGAACAAGGGTCATTGGCGGCTGGCCCCTGGCAGAGCAATAACAGGACTAACTTTTAGCCAGCATGTCCAGGCCCTGTGCTCCAAGACCCTGAACAAAGAGGTACCAGGTGGGTCTCACTGATTATGCCTCTCCCCACTGTGCCTTGTGCTGGCCACCAGGGAGGGTAACCAGGAGGCCCCCAGATGCAGCCTTTTAGTGGCCTGGCACCACTGACCTGAATATCCGACAGCATCTCACCCTCAAAAGTGACCTGGGGGCTGGTGGAGTGGCTCAAGTGGAATAGTGCCTGCCTAGCAAAGCCAAGGCCCTGAATTCCATCTCCAGTACCACCACCCCAAAAAACAATAGTGACCTGAGATGGGGAATGCAGAGACCAGGGCTCCGTTGCCAGCCGCCCCCTGTGGGCAGCTCTAGGCAAAAAAAAGCTGATTCCTTAAGAAGGTGACCCCTCTGTCCAGGCAATCAGGACCCATCGCAACAGCTCTGACCTGTACTCAGTGTCACACTGGAGGGCTGTCACACTCCAAGGACAGCAGTGTTCCAAGTGCTTAGGACTCCCTCTTCCTGGGAGTTTTCTCCCTCTTCCCATGGCCTCCTGTTGCTCCCAGACATGGGACCCTCCTCAGGGAGGGGGTGGGTGAAGGATACCCCACACCCTCCCTGGTCTCTGTTGTGTGGGTCAGAGGTCATGACAGGCTGGTTTGGCAAGGTGTCCTGTGCATGTGTTTGAGTGTGTATGCATGTGTGCATGAGTGTGTGCTCAGAACACACACACGTGAGGCCACAGCTTCACCAGCCAGAGGTCCCACTGCACAAGGAAGGCTCCCTGGCTCTCATCCTCCCACTCGCCGTGGCCGTGGCCTAGCACTTGTGCTGGTCAGCAAGTAGAGGGTAGCCAGGAGCCCCCAGATACACCCAGCCCCCTCTGGCTGGCTGGCACACAGGGGACCTTTGCAACAAGGCAGGCTCCCAAGGATAGCCACCCTCGGCTACCGTCCAGAAGGGCACAGATTGTAAACATCTGCCTTCCCTAGCTGGGGGTCTGTCTATGGTAGCCCCCTAGGCAGGGCAGGGAGGACAGAGGGCAGAGCCCTGGATCACCTCACCAGTCCCCATTCTAACCACACTAAGTACCCAGGCCCCGACCAGGTCAACCGCAGGTGAGTCAGTGCTGCTTAGACTAGAGCAAGGTGTGTGCGTCAGAGAAGGGGGTGGGGTGGCAGGTCAGACCCTCACCCTGAGAGCAACCTGGGGAGGCCAGTGCTGAAGGTCTCCCCTGGCTGGCCCAGGGCTGGGAGCCAGGGTTGGGGCTTGGCCTTATGGGCCATTCCTTCTGGGGCTCCATCAGACCCTCTGACCTAAAGAACAATTCATTTTCCATTTGCAGCAGCAAGAAGGCTGGTGCCACCGCCAAGGGCAAAGTTGGTGGGCGGTGGAAGTAAAGGAGCCAAGCGGCGCCCTGTGGCAGAGTCCCCCGGCCCTGACTCACTCCAGGGCCCCTTCCTGCAACACTGAATCCTCCAACCCCCACACCCAAGGCTCCTTCTGGGGCTCTGGGATGATGCTGGGGGTGGAGAGACCACACTCATCCCCTCTGCCCTCACTGCTCCCATCCCCTGGGGTCTGTGAATTAAAGTTATCAGTCCCCCCTCCACTTGGTGTGTGCGGTTCTGTATATGAGGATCTGGGGTGGCTGGGGAGGTGGGCTGGGGTTGCCTAATTCTAGAAACTTCCTGGCTGCCCACCTCACAAAGGCTCCCGATAGGGCAGGGTAACTTCTACTCCTCAGGGCTGTGACAGGACCATGTGGGTGCTGGGCCCAGGCCCATCTCCACAGCTCCACGTCTCTGCTATTCCCATCACAGACTTTTTACTCCTAGGATATCCCTCTGTCCCCTGTCTGAGGGCCCTCCACATCAGGTGGACTTCCCCCACCCTGAGAAGTCCCCTCTGTCTGGGCCATCCTCACACCCCATTTGGGGCAGAAGAGCTTGGCCTTGGGATGGTCAGGGTGAAAGGCTGGCCACCTGCAGACTTTGCAGACACCACAAAGTGGGGAAGCAGACCCTCTCAGAGGCAAGCTCCCGGGCCCCTCTCTGCAGAGCTGGGCACATGCAGGGGAAGGAGGAATGCAGACAGCACATTTCCAGAGAGAGCAACCACTGCAAACAAAGCATTTTCCTGTATTATTAAAGCACACAGTGCACAACTGTGTAATAAATTTGAAAGTCCTGACCAAAAAGAATTATGGGGAATATAAATCACAGCAATTGGATCAAGACATGCTGCCTTGCACAGCAAGGTACTCATGGAGGAAGGCATTTGTCTAGAAGCCCCTCTCTGGGCAGGTTCAGGGCGGGCTGTGGCCTGTGAGCACTGTGAGGGGACTAGAGACACCCCCTCAGCACAGGCAACACAGGCTGGGACCCTGAGGACAAAGTGGAACCCAGAAAGTACATGGTAACGTGCATGTACCCTAACACCAACACTGTAGCCCCATGTGTGCACCCCAGCACACACACACCCCAAAACACACAGCCCCTCACAGTTTCCCACACACCGTGTACCCTCCTATACACAACAGGTTTGAATATGCTAAGTGTGACCAAGTACACCTTTTCCCAGTGATGCAAAGGTGGGATCTTAACCTAACACAGGCTGTAACCGACTGGACCACATCGCCAACCTCTCCTCCATGCCTTGTTCTGAAAGTCTGTTCAGTTGTATAGCACAGAATGGCCAGAAGTGGACAGCTGTGCTAGGGACAGGAACAGGACGGTCACTTCCCGGGCAGGAGGCCTCGTGCACCAGGAGCTAGTGGAGACTGAGATTCTGAACCCGCTGAGGGGGCGTCAAGGCATTGAGGCAGCCAGGGCACCTGAGCGAGCCTGGGTTGGGGGGGAGTGTGAGCCTCCCAGCAGGGACAGATCAGTGTGAGAGCCCAAGCAGGAGGCAAGAGGATGAGTGAAATTTGAACAAAACAAGAAGCCAGGGAAAAGGACGGATGGAATTCAGTTCCCCAGGGCCAGGAATGCACACGAGCAGCTGACAAAGGCTGATCTCGGATGCAGACTCGTACCTAAAGCAAATTCCAGCAGGGTCCAAACAACAGGAATGTTCCAACCAAGTGCCCGCCCTGGGCAGTCAGGCTGAGGCCAGCGGGAGGTGAGTCTTTTAGCATATGTTTAGAAAACACGCTGCATAGCTCTGGATGGAAGAGGAAGTTATAGAGGAAGGCAGGAAGCATTTAGGACCCTATGATAATGGATGGCGGCGCCCTGGACTGGGAGGGACACACGGGAAACCACCGGGGGGCCTCCTGCTTACATTAGGAAAAGGAACAAGGCCTCCAGCTTTACTGAGCAACACATAGAATTCGAGAAATTCACCAACGACAAAAAACTAAACCAAGAAACGGAGACATGTAGAGATAATGAGAAACAGGAAAGAAGCAAATAAAATAACCCAGGATGAATGGAGGTCAGAAGGGAAAAAAATGAGTTCTGGGAAAAGACCTGTCGAACAGTAGATGGGGGAGAAGACGCGCGGTTGGGACGGAAGGAACATAGCGAGGGCCCAGACTCGACTTGTACCAAAGAATGCTGTAAACAACATTAAGGTAATATATTTGAGAACTGGATAAGACGCCCAGTTCCCAGGAGAAATATAACTTACAGGACTGGGTCAAGGTGAAGTGCAAACCTTGAATAGACTGCTTCATTTTAGAGACTTTGAGCCAGGGGTTAAATCATTCCCCACTATGCAGTTTTTTTTTAAGTTTCGTTATGACCAAGGGATTGCTCTCTAAGGCAGAGACAGGTTTACATCAGAAAACTGAAGGATGTGAAGAGTTTAAAGGGTCGAAAAAAATAAACGTTGAGGACTGAGGCGTAGCTCAGTGGCACAGTGCTTACCTACTGTGCACAGGGCCCTCCGTTTGATCCCCAGTGAGTGCTGTCATTTTTTTTTAAATTTAACACTGCACAAAACACAACCACGCATGAAAGGGGGCACAAATGTACAGCGGTGTCATCCTGGACAGTGGATGAACAAGAGTCAGGAGCACTGACTTCACTTCACACTGACCAGGTGTCCTAGCAAGAGCTTAAGACAAGAAAAGGCATCTTTTTTTTTTAAGAGACGGCTAGGTAAGGAAAAAGAAATATCATTACTCACAACTGCTTCCTGTCTACAAGGAAACCCAAGAGAACCTACAATTGTGACTTGTCGGGACCATGAGGTTAGCGCCATTACAAAGGCAGTGGGTCCACCTCCTTAGGTGCTAGCAGCAGGGCAGGGACAGGATGCTCCAAGAAACCACTGAGATCCAGCACTCAGGAGACCCGGGCAGGAGGATCCGTGGGCTCTGGATCAACCTGGGCTACACAGCAAGACTCTGTCTCAAAGGAGAGAGAGAGAGCATCCCAGTCACAATGGAAAATTTCAAAACTTGAGGAGGAGGATAGGAAAGCTACAGAAGGGATGAATATGGTCACTTATGCTATATGTGCGTGTATGGATATTCTACAGTGAAAACTGCACAGGTAATACGAACTAAATGTGGGAAACACACAAACAAACAAAAATTCTATGATGACAAGAATAAATCCAAAAGCCAGGTGCTGGTGGCTCACGCCTGTACTCCTAGCTTCTCAGGAGGCAAAGATCAGGAGGAACATGGTTGGAAGCCAGCCTGGGCAAATTGTTCTTGAGACCTTATCTCAAAAAAACCCAATATAAAACAGGGCTGGAGGAGCGGCTCAAATGGTAGAGTGCTTGTGTAGCAAGCGTGAGGCCCTGAGTTCAAACCCTAATACCTCCAATCAATCAGCCAATCAGCTAATCAGTCAATAATCGATAAATCAATTCAACAAAGGAGGGGCCAGGATCATTATAGACACAGTAAAAAAAAAAAATAGTTAACTGTTCTGTTTCAATCAACAGCCACAGAGAAAGCCCATTGCCGTTGCCTGCAGCCCAGCGAGGAAGGCTCTATGCAGAACCTTGGGGACAGCCAAAACTTCTGGGATTTCATGTGCCAGGTCTGGCCACCTGCCCCTAAATGCCAAATAGGCAAGGTGAAGGCAGAGAAAGGAGGTTTATTACACGAGTCGGGACATGCCCTGGGAAGTGTCAGAGTAGCACCCAGCTCATCTTCAGCCGTCTTCGGGATACAGATGTGAGCTATAGGTTAGAAGACAAAAGAACTGAGGGCAGGGGACAAAGGTATCCATCGTTAAACAGTCTCAGTCACAGGTGTGATCTGTTGACCATTATCTCGGTGCTTACTCTGGGAGAGGTTCCGAAGTCGTTATCTGGAGGCAGGCAGGCGGTCCATCCAAAGGAAGGTCTACTGTTGGCTGCAGTTTCTGTCCCTTGTCATGAAAATGTTATCGTCTGTCTTTCCTGGAATCCAAGGTGATTGCAAAGTGACTGCAAAGAGCATGGCTTAGAGCAAAGACAGACACAAAATGGAGGCAGGGGTGCCAAGCCTCACCTGTTTTTAGTTAATTTGTGGGCCTGAGTAAGGAGTCCATGCTTTTCAGCAAAAGCAGTTTGAGCGCCTCTTACAGCCTCACAGCCGGGAGAGGGATGGAGCTTCCCAATCTAGCACTGGCAAGTGGGAATCAAGGACCACAGAGCAGGGTGGAAAATGCCTAAGAGGAGACACCAGGCAGGGGTTCTGGCTAATTGGACCTAACAGGACTTTTACTGAGGCAGGCAGGTGGGGACCAGAGGTCACCCGGGGAGATGGGGGAGAAGCATGAGCAGACATGGGGTGGTTAAATGTCAAAGTGACATGACTCTTTGCTAAAACTGGATTTTACAAGAAAGCACACTCTCGGTCCTAAGAGGAGGTTCCAAAGCCAACCATAGAGTCTTTGTCAGAAATATTCGATGTCTTTATGGAACCCGGAGTACCATTAAAGAAAAGGCAAAAGTGAACAAAAGAGGGACCAGGGTGAGTGAGCAGCTCACAGAGAAGGAAGGAGGGTGGCCAAGAACTGCATACCTGGCACCCAGTGGAAATGACAGCAAACCCAACGCAAGGTGCCACCTCACATGCATCCAGAGGGCAAAAAAATGCTATCGGCTAGTCAGTCAGTGGAGGAAAAGACCATCTCTATGGAGATGGACTGGCAGGATTGGTAAGGCACCTTGTGACCCTTGATATGAGACAGTTGGCTGAGGTAAGGACTATCAGTGGATGCTCAGATCGTGGGATCAAGGGTTCAGGCTGATCCCCTTTTTTTTTTTTACTTCAGTGATGAAGTAAAAAGGGTACCTTGAAAACAGAGGTGAGTAGCAGGGCCACGATAAGATGGGTCTTTAGCGTCACCCATGTTGAGATAAGTAAGGATCGGGTATTTTCAGAAGATGCACTAAGAAGGACACAGCCGTATTTTTAACAAAGCAGCCAACCTGGAGCTAGTCACAAAGGAGCTGGCCCACAGATCTTTCAAGACACTGTCCTGCACTCTCCAAAACGGTCACTCACCTCAAAGTCACCCCTTAAAAAGTCGTAGACTGTTCTTAGATAAGAGATTGAAAGGTCACGACAATTAAAGATGGTGTGTTGACCTTTGTTGTACACTCTGAGAAAGGCCAGCTTGTTGTGATGGCACAAGCCAGTAACCAACGAGGTGAGGAGGA